TCTGCCTGCCTCTGCCTCCCGCATGCTGGGATTAAAGGCGTGCGTCACCAACGCCCGGCTTCTTGTCAAATTTTATATTGTCAGTTTTTCAATTTTAGCCCATTTAATAGATAACCATAGTGTATCTCTTTATTGTTTTAACTTACTATTTTGAACTTACTGAACATATTTTCACATCATTACTTCTTACTCTATATCTCCTTTGGCAAGGCATCAAATTAGACCTTTTAGCCATTTAAAAACATTTATTTATCACGTATATGAATGGAGGTCAAAAGACAGCTTGTGGGAATTGGCTCTCTTCTTCTACCATGTGAGTCCCAGGGATCCAGTTCAGGTTGTCAGGATTAGTGGTACACACCTTTACCCACTGAGCTATCCTGCTGGCCCATTGGCTGTTTTTTTTTTTTTTTTTTTTGTTTTTGTTGTTGTTTTTTTTTAATTGTACTGTTTTTGTTCCTGAGTTTTAAGTTTTATTCCCAAAATTTGTTTGGAAGACCTTTCTTATGTCTGTGCTTTGGAAAAGTATTTATCTATTCATTTGTATGTGAGTGTGATATGAGTGTGGCCACTTGTGCCATGGTGTGCATGTAGATTACAGAGAACAGCCCTTGGGTGTTAGCTGTCTTCTACTTTCATGTAGACTCTGGGGATCAAACTTCGCCTCCCAGTGCTTTTATTCATGGAGCCATGCCACTGGCCTGGAAAATCTTTATTCTGCTTGTTTTCAAACTTTTTTTTTTTTAATAATAACTTTGCAGAATAGTTCATTTTGATAACATTCAGCTTAGAAAATTCTTTATCTCACGAGTTGTTGTTTTTGGTGTTCTGTGTGAAAACTTCTTCCCTCACTTTGGCTTTGGGCCAAGAATATTAAACAGCGTCGTCTAGGAACTTGCAGTTTCAGCTTTTAGATTTAAGATACTTTGCTTGAGTCTCACAGCTAGGACTCTGGTCCTCTTTTGCACGTTGTAGACTGTGTCTGCATTGTGTCTTTAATTATTGTGGGAAGAAGCTCCTACCCGAGAGGATGGCTGGATGCTCTGAAGACCTGACCGGTTTATGTGGACGTAGCCAGTGGGGGTGTTTCTTTGCGTGTCTGCAGGGCGAACTACAGGAAAAAGGGGTGGAGAGTTCTGGGATCAGGAGGTCATAGAATTTTATTTGTTCATTAATCTGGGTGAAGGCTTTGGCAGTAGAAAACGGGAAAAATGGGCGGTGAGTGTGAGAGTGGCTGGGAGGAAGGAAGTGGCAGGGTTTGAAATTAGAGTCAGTGTGTGAAGAGGATGATGAGAGATATTGGTTATCTTTAGGCTGGGGGTAAGAGAAGGCAGAATTCCAGGAGCCCAAGTGGAAGTAGAGAGCTGTGCTTGCATTCATCTTCAAGGTCCTGTCTCAACAGCAGGGGCAAATGGTCAGCTGTGGTGGTAGTAGGTCCGTGTGTGTGTGTGTGTGTGTGTGTGTGTGTGTGTTAGATCTGTTCAAAGCCTAATGACAGATAATAATGCCCATAAAGCATCACCTTGGAGAGAGAATTGACTGCACTCTTGGTTTTTGTACTTCATAAATTTGCACTTGAGGGAATCGGGATCATGAACTTGATTGAATGAAGAGGTATTGTGATGTCTTCAGGAGCTGATTCTAGACAAAGATTTGAATGCAAGTATTTTGTTTAGGAGCTTATCCCAGGAAACAACTGTTGGGCTGGAAGAAGTGAGATAGGAACAAGAAGATAGCAAATAAGGGTTTAATTATCCATCATGTTAGTGGGAGAGTAGCTGTAGCCAGTGTGAAACAGGTATCTTAGAGTGGGTGGAGGCTATGTCGTCTCCATTAGCCGTTGGGCAAGAATGTACCCAGGTGGTAGATTTATAGTGTTTGAGGCTTGCCCTGAAGGAATCAAAATAGACTGCAAAGCGGTAGTGGTAGTGGAATAGCTGCTGCCAGCCTAGGATGTAAGGACCTGGTAAAGTGTAGACGGGGTGGGGGAGGAGGGAGCCCTTTGACACCTTCCTTAATACCTTCTTGCAGTCCCAGCATCTCCAGCTCATTTTCTCTAGGATGTCATTTAAGCATTGTATTTCAGGCTTCAATGAGTCATTCCCACAACACATCAGGATTGACTCCAGATGTTTTTATCTTATTAAATCCTGAGTCATGAGCCAGTGCCCCCTATCAGTCAACACCCTTTTTCTTACCAGTATGTACTGGCCCTCCAAGTCCAACACTCTCAAGATCCTTTCCCATGCTGCCTTTTTCTTTTCTTCTTCTCCTTTTCCTTCCTTCTTCCTTCTTGATTTATTTACTTTTATTTATTTATTTATTTATTTATTTTTAGTGTGCATTGGTGTTTTGCCTGCTTGTGTATTTGTGTGAGGGAGTTGGGTCCCCTGGAACTGGAGTTACAGATGGTTGTGAGCTGCCATGTGGGTGCTGGGAATTGAACCTGGGACCTCTGGAAGAGCAGCTAGTGCTCTTAACAGCTGAGTTATCTTTTCAGCCTTGGCCTCTTGTTCTTACTGTCCCAGAGGCAGGGGTAGAATTTGGAAGATAAGCATCTTTCAGGATCTAATCCCAGCACAGGCCTTTGCACAGTCTTTGACATCTTGTAGCAAGAGGGTCAAAGCTCCGTTTATGGTTTCTCAAAAGTCTGTAGATTTCCTGTGTGCTTTCTGTCCTGACACACACCCAGCCTCCTGATCACCAGGATTCCCCACCAGTGTGGTGTGTTCATTAAAGTCAGTGAACCTACATAGATACATCGTTTACTCCCAGATTCATTGTTTATGTTGTGGTTGACTTGGCGTTTTCGTTTTTGGGTTTAAACAAATGGTATAATGGAATGTACCAGCCATCATCAGACAAAATAGTTTCATTGTACAAATGTTCCTCCATGTTCATTGGATTCATTACTCACCTTACCTTTTGTGTCACCAGTCTTAACTGTCTTTGTAGTTTTGCCTTTTCATGGATGTTGTATAGTATAAACCATGCTTTTTGTCCTTTTGGATTGGTTTCTGTGGCAGGGTCTCATTTAGCCCAGTCTGGTTTTGAACTTTCTATGTGCTGGGTCTGGGTTGGTCCTTTTCCCTTAGTAATTTTTTTTTTCTTTTGGTTTTTCGAGACAGGGTTTCTCTGTGTAGCTTTGGAGCCTATCCTGGCACTCGCTCTGGAAACCAGGCTGGCCTTGAACTCACAGAGATCCACCTGCCTCTGCCTCCCGAGTGCTGGGATTAAAGGTGTGCCCCACCAACGCCCGGCTCCCTTAGTAATTTTTGCTTAAGTTTCTTCAATGTCTTAATGACTCCCTGGCTCATTTCCTTTTAGAACTGAATAGTTTATCTCTTCACCCACTGAAGGTCCACGTGACTGTTTTCAGGATTTGGCAATTATGAATAAAGCTGCTACGAACATCTGTGGTTTTTGTTTTTGTTTTGTAGATGTACAGTTTCACCATCTCTGCCTAGACACCAAGGACTGTATGATAATAGTACATCTCCTTATGTAAGAACCTGGCCACTGTCTTCACAGTGTCTGCACCTGCTGCTTTGCCTCTTCACTAGTGCATGGTATCGTCTGTTTTTATAGGCCCGTAGTGCCTATAAATTATTTTATTAGCTTTATTCATTTTTATTTTATATGTGAGTGTTTTGCCTGCATGTATATATGTGCATCACGTATGTGCTTGGTGCCCATGGAGGTCAGAAGAGGGCATCAGATGCCCTGGAATTGGAGTTATGGTTAGTTGTGAGCCACCATGTGGGCGCTGGGCATCAAAGTTGGGTCTCCTGCAAGAGCAATGAGTGCTTTTGTAACCTGAGCTATTTCTCCAGCACCTCTATTTTTAATTTTTAATAAAATTAATTTTTTTATTATTCATTTTATGCATTGTGTTTTTAATTTCATATTCCAGTTTCTTTCTACTTCATAGGAAATGGATAGTTTTTCTGTATTGGTCATATATCCACTACCCTTGCTGTAATTGCTTATTAGTTGGCAGAGTTTTGGTAATTCTGTTGGGGGTTGTGCGTAGATGATCATGTCAAGGTGAACAAAGATGGTTTTATTTCTCTCCCCTCATTTCCTTTTCACGGTTTTAACTCCTGTAGTTTTCCATACCAGCCAGCTGCCCTTTCTGCTTCTGCTGCCTTTAGTATGAGATAAGACTGCCTGTGAGCTGGGGTAGGAGAGAATGAAGGAGGGAAAAGCAGCTGGGGATCTCGTCCACTTTGTGTTAGCTTTCTTCTCTGCAAGCAAACGAGGGCTTCCCTGAGTGTTTTTTTTAGCATGTGCTACAAACAAGGCTCTGTTTGGGGAGCCTGGCAGTTTGGAGTTCAGGCCTGGAGCTATGAGAGAGAAGTAGTAAACTTGCCTTCTTGGGTGGTCGCTTTAGTCCAGCGCCTCAGGCTTATTTCTTATGTGTCTCCAATGACTCCACATACATTAGTTTGGGTATAGTAGTTGTGCTCAGTGGCTGAGGTAGTTGTATACTTACCAAAATTCCAGGATGCAGAACTTTCTTGGGCTGGGTATTTAGGACTTATCTGTCCCTTGCTGCAGCTGTCCATTGCCCTATGGGAGTGAGTAACTTTGCAGGCGTTTCTTGGCTAGAGAATGTTCGGCCAGCTGGAGGGAGTCCTGCAGGGAAAAGTGCAGCTGTGACAATATAGCCAGCTCCCAGCCATAGGAAAGTAACTAAGCCACCTGAGGAAGGCTTGGCTGGCCGGGACAGCTGACATTGATTGCATCGTTACTGTTTCCTGACTGACTGACACATCTCCAGTGTCATTTTATAAGTTGGTCTTAGCTGCCTCATTCTCCCCCCTACCCCCGTGTGTGTGTGTGTGTGTGTGTGTGTGTGTGTGTGTGTGTATGTTAGGGGATGGTGTATATGCATGTGTTACCTTGGTACTTCCACAGATTGATGTAAGGTGTCCTACTCTGTTGCTGTCTATATTATTATTTTTTTTTTTTAGCCAGGTCCCTCACTGAACCTGGATCTCACTGATTGGCTAGTGGGGCTGGCTGCTGCGATCAGCCTATCCACCCCTCCCCCCAGGACTGGGGATTACAGGTGCACACCGCCACATCTGGGTCTCTTTTATGTGGGTGCTGAGGGTCTGAACTTAGGTCCTTGTGTTTCTACAGCAAGCAAGGCTACCCATTTAGTGGTATCTTCAGCTCCTGCCTCATTCTTTTTAAAACCTCAGAAGTATACTGTTTACTTCTATGATAGTCTGTAAATTATTGAAGCATTTTTGTAGTGGGTTTTCATCTTTTTTTCTCCCTTTCACATCTGTTCCTCCTTGAGGTTCTTTCTTTCCTTTCTCTTTCCTTCCTGTCTTGTTGATGATACAGAAATACCCGAATAAAGCAACATAAGAAAGGGTTTATTTTGGGTCACAGTGTGAGGATTCAGTCACAGTGGCTACTGGGGCTTGAGGTAGGTGGTCACATTGCTTCGCAGTTGGGAAGCAGGGAGTGATGCCAGAACCCGGAGCAGGGAACTCCTTCAAGTGTGGCCTCCAACAACCACTTCTAGCTAGGCTGGCTACAGTGTCAAAGGTTCCACAAACAGTGTCACAGGCTGGGAGCCAAGTGTTCAAACACATAAAACTGGGCAGGACATTCACATTTAAATCATAAAAGTTGGTGAAGTGTCTGTGCTATTTATGCCATTTCAGCATCTTAGGGTGATTAAAGTACTCCTCCAAGGATGGGCATTCAGTAATGGAACTGAAACAAAGGCCATGGTATGATTGTTTTCATTTTGACAATGGGGACATATTGGCCTCATTGCATTGTAGTAATTCAATGTTAACTATTATTTCCATACATAAGATTGGCAAACTTTTTCTTACAGGGTATGACAGTAAATTTTACTTTAGGCTTTTCAGGCCAGAAGTTCTCTGTGGCATGCATTGTAGCCTGCCATTGTTTTATGAATACATAAATTCTGCCATAGGTAGTATAGAAATGAAGCCAGGTATGAAAGCACATGCCTGTAAGCCCACCATTTAGGAGGTGAGGCAGGAGGATTAGGAGTTCAAGGTTTCCTCAGTTGTATAGCAAGTTTGAGGCTAACCTGGACTACATGAAACCATGTCTAGCCCTTATACTCCCTTCTAAAAAGAAAAAGGGAACAGAAGTAGATAGGCATGACTATGTTCCAAAGCTTTATTTGCAAAGGAGATGGCAGGTCTGACTTGCCCAAGAAAGTGTAGTCCTGTAGTTCGCCAGCCGCTAGCCACCAGCAATTTTACTTGTGGTTTGGGTGCTGAAATGGCCTGGCAGTACTTGTAGGGCATCTAGATGACCAAGGATACATATTGCTTCCTAAGATTAATCTGGAAATAAAAATAAAATTTCAGAAAATTGCCATTAAGAATTCAGCAGTCTCTAGGAATTTGTTTTCTCTGTTTTGAGAAAAGTGATGTAAAGGGACACTGAAGCAGATAGAGGGTGTAACTTGTGAGATACATCATAGAGGACGTTGTGGTTATTCTGTTGCGATCTGTATCAGCCCTTGACGTTGTGAGAGACCAAGTTTGGGATAAGGGAGCCGCAAGCTTCTGAGTGGCCTCTTCCCTTTGTAATTACAGGCTACTGGAACCAACTCCTGTTTTTTCTTTAAGTCTTAGATTTTATTAGATTGTTTTTCTGTTTCTGGCTGCTTTTTCTTTGGCTTACTTTCTGCTCAGAATTCTTTGACTTGGGGTAAATTGTAACCACGATGTGTGTTGAAGCCTCCCCGATGACATTTCCATGACCTGGAAAAGGTCATTCTTGATCAAAATCTTACTTATGGAATGTTAAGGAATATATTTATGTTTAAAAGTCTTTTTAGGGTATGGCTAAACTTGGCTGTAATCAAGTAGGCAACTTGCTCTTGTGACATGCAGTTTATATAGTTGTCATTTTGTTTGTGATCATAAGATGTTTGAGGATGGTTTGTACTAGTTTAATATATAACAGTTTAATCATACTTGAGAGTGATTTACAGCAGTTTAATCTACTCAGGGTAATTATCTGGCTTATGTTCAGCAGAACTTGGCACAAGCAGGTCTGTATAATGGGTGTTGTTCTAGCTTTTTACACATCATAGATCCAGATATCTGTAAATAACAGTTACATGAAGACTGTGTTCAGGAGGTTGCCATTGCATTGGTGTTGAGCTATGTGTTCTCTGCATCTGTTATCTAATCTGTGAAACAGGAGCAGCCTTAATAACAAAGCAGGCATGAAGGTTTTTGTGGGGACCAAATAGATTACAGAGGAGTGCAAATGCAAATGACACTGTTGCTTTTGTTTTTGAGACAGTTTTGTTACATTGTCTAAGCCAGCTTTGAACAACTAGGTTAAAAAAATTCTATCTCAGCCTCCCAGGCAGCTGGGATTGACACTTGGTTCCACACATGTGAGGAGTTTTAACACCTGGCACAGCCTCAGTGCCAGCATTAACTGCTATTGCTATGTGACAGAAATGTTCCTTAGAGGAGCCCTTTAGTGTGTGGATGAATCGTTTAACCTAATCCAGAAGATTTTATGTCTGTCTTCTGTGTATAAGTAGAAAGCTCTCATGTTCTTTACTATAGCCTTCTTTCTGTTGTATCTGAAATCATATTTAGTAACATGCTAATATATGCCAAATAGTGGTAGTAGATGAAACTGTCTTAACACACTCAGGGCTCTGTAAAGAAAATAATCAAGTTGGAACGAAGACATTCTCAGCCAGGCATGTAACAGGTATGTACAGGTGTGTACCTGTAATTCCAGCACTCATGAGGCTGGGACAGAACAGCTATGAATTCAGGGTCAGTCTGGGCTCTATTGTGAGGTCTAGAGCAGCCTGAGTGAAAGTATGAGCCCCCAAAGGAAAGAAAAACAGTTCTGCATTTTCAACTCAGGAACTAAACATACCAGCTCCTTCCTGTAAGTAGTGACTGTCCAGTATCTTTTATAAACTACCAGGTGATGGGAGAATGGCTCATCTTTCTTGGTGGCAGGCCCCCACTTTATTTTAATGATGCTGCTGTATAAATGTTCACTGTTGTTTCCTGCATTGCTCACAGCTGAATGATAGGTCCTTGGTTGAGTCCTCACACCATGCCTTGGCTCATTGTGTCTTTCTTCATCTCTAGGATGATTGAGGAAGGTGGGAACAAGAGGAAGACCATGGCGGAGAAGAGGCAGCTCTTCATAGAAATGCGTGAGTATCCAGGGCTCCGACACATGGAATACTGGGGGTTTGTGTATGTATATATATCCCTAGGACAAGGTATCCCCTCTCAATCCCCGCCCCCTCCTCTCTCTCTCCATGGTCTTACTATATAGCTCTGACCAGGCTGGCCTTGAACTCACAGAGCTCTTGCCTGCTTCTGCCTCCCAAGTGCTTTGAATTGCTTTCTTAGCTAAGATCATAAATAATAAGGCAGAATGGAATTCCCCTGACTTTAAGTCATGCCTACTGTTTGGAACTCTTTTGTAACTGTTGTTACCATAAGCTAGCAGGTGTCAATAAGTAGTTAATAATTAATGTATTGTAAAAATTATCTTTTTTACTAGAATCCAGGCATTCAGTAGAGAGAACTAAGTGTTAGAACTATTGGAAAACCAAAAAGAAAGAACTTTACTATCCTCTCAAAAATCTTCTGTTAAAAATTATACTGTGGCCGGGCGTCGGTGGTGCACGACTTTAATCCCAGCACTCAGGAGGTGGAGGCAGAGGCAGGAGAATCTCTGTGAGTTCGAAGCCAGCCTGGTCTACTGAATGAGTTCCAGGACAGGCTCCAAAGCAATACAGAGAAACCCTGTCTTGAAACCCACCCCCCAAAAATTATATTGTGATATTAAAAAAAAATCCAAAACATGGCCTTGAGGAATTGGGTGGTTCCTCATACTTGTTAGGTCTCAAATTGCTTTATAGTATTGGTCTGGATTAGTCTTTGTAAAAATCTTTGTGCATGTGTGCATGTGTGTGGGGGGGGGTGGGGGAGAGGGTGGTTTTTCGAGACAAGGTTTCTCTGTGTAGCCCTGGCTGTCCTGGAACTCTACTCTGTAGATCAGGCTGGCCTTGAACTCAAAGATTCACCTGCCTCTGCCTCCAAAGTTCTGGTATTAAAGGCGTGCTCCACAACTGCCTGGAGTAAACCCTGTCATCCTAGTGTTCAGAAGTGAGGCAGAAGGACCATGAGTTTAAGGACAGCCTTGACTACATACTGAGACCTTTATCTTAAAAAAAAATTACAAAGTTGGTCCTGCATGTCTGATGAAATCAGGAAATAGGAGGCCGAAACCCAGACTAGGATAGTCTATGAGGTACTTGAATTCTAGAATTCTGCCTATTAGGATATAATTAACAGGTGAAGTTTCAGAAGATCTTTTGGCTCTCAGCATAGTTGGAATCTGTAGAGACTTAGTCAGTGGAGGCAGAGGTAGGTTCAGCTCAGAAGTTTAGGCTTGAGAACTGTTAGAGGTTGTAGAGAAGAAATGGTGGCACTGATGGGGAATCGACCAGATGTTTAAGGCAGGTGCTTCCCTCTGTCTCACCCCCAAAGAAACAAAGTGCAGTTGAACTTATATGAGGCCTGTGCACCCTCCCCAAGTCTTTACTCTCTTCACCAGGGTCTCATCCAAACTGGCTTTGAATTCACCATCCCTTTGTCTCAGATTCTCAAGTGCTGGGATTACAGGTGTGTCCCATGGCTGGCTCTATAATGGAGTCTTGGATCTGCTCCTCAGACCACAGGCTGTGCAGTTAGAACGCCTGGTTTGGATCTTGGTTCCCACGCTTAATGACCTTAGGTATATAACCTTATATATGTATAACCTTAGGCAAGTTTCTTTTTTTTCCATTTAAAATTAAAAAAATTATTTTATGTGCATTGGTGTGAGGATCAGATCCCCTGGAACTGTAGTTACAGTCTTGAGCTGTCATGTGGGTGCTGGGAATTGAACCTGGGTCCTCTGGAAGAGCAGCCAGAATGTTGAGCCATTTTTCCAACCCCCTCATTTAAAAAATTTTTTAGGAGTCTCTGGGACTTTACATTCCTTTATTCTTTTATTTATTCTCTGATAAATACACATATTTTTAAAATAAAATAAAAATAAATATTTATTTATTGTGTGTATATGCAGTGTACATGCTCACATGCCATAGTGTGCATGTAGAGGTTAGAGCATGTTTTATTTAGGGTTATTATTGCTGTGATGAAGCTTGTTGGGGAACAGGTTTATTTCAGCTTACACTTCCAGATAACAGTCCATCATTGAAATGAAGTAAGGACAGGAACTAAACCAGGACAGGAACCTGGAGGCAGGAGCTGATGTAGAAACCATGGAGGGGAGCTGCTTACTGGCTTGCTTTCCCTGGTTTGCTCAACCTGCTTTCTTGTAGAACTCAGAACCACCAGCCCAGGGATGGCATCACCCTCCATAGACTGGACCCTCCCTTGTCAATCACTAACTAAGAAAATGCTTTATAGGCTTGTGCACAGCCCGATCTTATGGAGGCATTTTCTCAGTGAGATTCCCTCTCGGGTGACTCTAGCTTTGTCAAGTTGACATACAATTATGCAGGATAGAGGACAACTTGCAGGAATCAGATGTTTTCTACTATGTGCGTTCCAGGGGTAGAACTCAGGTTGTCAGGCTTGGTGACAAGTGCCTTTTTATGATAGGCCATCTTGTTAGCCCTTAGGCCAAGTTTCTTAATCTCCATATGCCTTAGTTTCCCCATATAATGGACTAGAACAGACTTCACAGAATTCTTGTGGTTAACTATGATAACACTAGGAAAGCTCTGCACAGTGCCTGACCAAGAATAATAAATGTGGTTAACTGTGGATTTCCCTGTGTTGCCCTGACTGCCTTGGAACCTGCTCTGTAGACCAGGCGGGCCTCAAACTCAGATCCACCTGCCTCTGCTTCCAGAGTGCTAGGATTAAAGGTGTGTTCCACCACCACTGGTCTATGTTCAAATGTTCTAAAAGATTTTTTAGTGATTTTATTTTATGTATATCAGTATTTTGCCTGCATGTATGTCTGTGTGGTGACTGGTGTCCTTGGAGGTCAGAGAGGGCACTGATCTCTTGGAACTTGACTTATAGATGGTTGTGAGCTGCTTGAGGTAGGTGCTGAGAATCATGCCTGGGTCCTCTACAAGAGCAACAAGTGCTCTCAGCTACTGAGTCATCTTTCCTGCACCCATTTAAAAAAATGTTTATCATCCTTTTAAAAAAAAGTTGAGAAGAATCATTTTGTGTGTATGACTGTCTTGCCTACAAGTATGTCTGTATAACACCTACGTGCCTATGCTTGGGCTAGCAGGTGGCTCCTAATCACCCGGAACTGGAGTTACAACCCTTGTGAGCTGGGTAGGTGCTAGGAATGAAACTTGAGTCCTCAGAAGAGCAGCCAGTGCTCTTTTTTTTGGGGGGGGGGCGTTTCGAGACAGGGTTTCTCTCTGTAGCTTTGGAGCCTATCCTGGCACTCGCTCTGGAGACCAAACTGGCCTCGAACTCACAGAGATCCACCTGCCTCTGCCTCCCGAGTGCTGGGATTAAAGGTGTGCACCCCCATCGCCTGGCTACCTGCCTCTGCCTCCCGAGTGCTGGGATTAAAGGTGTGCACCACCATCGTCTGGCGAGTAGCCAGTGCTCTTAACTGATGAGCCATCTCTCCAGCCCTCTTACCGTTCTGAACTAAAGCAATTAAGTATCTGATACTTTCTTCTAGCCTTATCTTCAAGTCTGTCAGTGTGCCCCAGTTCACATCGTATATGATCTAGATTAAACCATATAAATCCGTGCCGCATCCTTGCTCAGAATTAGTTTAGCTGTTTATTAACTTCATAAGAGAGTTCTAGCTCCAGAATATGCCGTTGGGCCCCTGTCTTGCCTTGTTCACAAGTTCCCAATTTCTACTTCATGGCTTGTGTTAATTTTTTGTCGACTGAGATGATCAAGCTTATAAAGAGGAAAGGGGGATGTGAGGATGATCTAGCTGCGACACCTGCCACCACATTGATCTTTAGGGTTGATTCGACTGATCTGGCTGGCTAGGCGGGTGTCCCCTTCCTTCCTCACCACTCACTCCATGTGCGTCCCTCCCAAAGCTGCCCTTCTCTTGGGAAAATTGAACTTTACATCTCTCAATTTCCCTTTACTTGATTGTGACTGTGATACTCTTTTTTTTGGTTACCTTAGAAGTTATAACACCAACTGATACAAAATCCAAGCTTTTTAATATTTATATCTTTATTCAGAGTAATACAGGTTCCTTAGGCTACTGTAGAGAACCTTCTTTATGAAGGACATGCTGTCTTTTAAAACTTGTCATTGTTTTTAATGATCAGTCTTTTGGAAATACAGTCCATTTTGTTATTTTTTTCTTTCCCTTGTCATTTTTTTTTTTTTTGTTGCTGTTGTTAAATCCAGATTTTAAGACTATACATATGTGTGTCTGTGTGGGTGCCAGAAGAGAGCTTTAGATTCCCTGGTACAGTAGTTACAATGTGAGTGCTGAGAGCTGAGCTCTGGACCTTTCCAAGAGCAACAAGTGCTCTTAACCGCTGAGCTGTTTCAAGAGTTCCTAAATCCTGATGTTTTAAAAGGTAAATCTGGGGGGCGCCAGGCTTGTTCCTCTTGCCATTTCAGCTTTGTGAATTTGTCTTCATTTTTTCCTGGTTCACTCACTGGAGTTTACTCCCTTCAGTGCTCTCAAAGCTTCATCTTTCCCCAGGCTTTGTAATCCTCCTGCAGTGGGGGAAAGACACTGTGCATGCTGCAGCATGCATGTGGAGGTCAGAGGTCAGCTTTTGGGAGTCGGGTCTCCTTCACATTCAGGTTGTGGAGGGTTAATACCTGCTGAACTGCTTCACAGGCCCTGTGTTATTATTCTTATTAAAATTTTTTTTGAAATGCTTACAATAGAGTTCCTATTTAAGCAACATAGACACATTGTTATATGAACTTTATGTTTCAGTCCATTTCTGTTTCTAATAACATGATATGCAGACTGAGTTATAAAGACAAAGAAGTTTATTTTGGCTCATGGTTCTGGCCAGAGTTGCAGGGCCACATCTGGAGATATTCTTGCTGGCAGGGTCCTGAGGTAGCTGAGGGCACTGTGTGGCAAGAGATAGGGAGCGAGTCAAGTGTCTTCTGACCCCTGTATGCCTGCTTTTTCCTCTGTTGCTAGATTTATTAGTTTGCTTGCTTGTTTATTTATTTAGGGTTTCATTCTAGCTCCTATGGCCATGTTCCTGTCTCAGCCTTTCAAGTGCTGAGATGACAGGCATGAGCCACTCACCCTGGCTCTGCTTTTCTTTCCTTTTTTGAAACTTTATTTTTATTTTATGTGCATGGGCATTTTGCCTGCATGTATGTCTGTGCACCACTTGTGTGCCTATGGAGTCCAGACGCCAGCATGGGATCTCTTGGAACTGGAGTTACAGATGGTTGTTAGCTACTACATTCAAATACAAGCAAAAGGAAATACTTTACTTTTTTAAAACCTAATTTTTACCTTTTCTTGGGTGGGAGCAGAGTCTGATTATGTAGTCCAGGTTGGCCTGGAACTTGCTATATAGACCAGGTTGGCCTTGAACTTAGGGATCTGCTTGCCTCTGCCTCCTGAGTGCTGTGATTAAAGATGTGTGCCACCACACTCAGTGATTTTTACTTCTTTTTTTTTTTTTTTTTTTTTTGGTTTTCCAAGGTGGGGGTTTTCTCTGTGTAGCTTTGGAGCCTATCCTGGCACTCGTTCTGGAGACCAGGCTGGCCTCGAACTCACAGAGATCCGCCTGCCCCTGCCTCCCAAGTGCTAGTTTGCCTTCTTGATAGGACTTTATTTTACTGTCCCTTCAGCTCACTGACTGAAGATAGCCAGTGTTCCTTCCTCTCAGAGTTCTCTTGCAAAGCCTAAGACAAAACTGTGGCAGCATCTTGGCATGTAGTGGGCATAGGCAAGGTGCTTCTTTCTTCTCCACACATATTACAGTGGAACCACACTTCTACCATACGGCAATGGACTGCTCAAATACAGCTCAACTTTTTACTGTGTCCTTTTCTCAGGTGCTCAGAATTTTGATGTCATACGACTGTCAACTTACAGAACAGCTTGCAAGTTACGATTTGTACAGAAGCGATGCAACCGTAAGTCATTTCTTACTTCTTTGATAATTTTAGTTTCTTCCAGGAATACTACAAGGTTAGTTGAATTCTGTTTGTCTTTTTGTAAAGAAATTTTTTTTTTTTTTTTTTTTTTGAGACAGGGTTTCTCTGTCTTATAGCCCAGGCTGTCCTGGAACTCACTCTGTTCGAGGCTTGGCCTCGAACTCACAAAGATCTGCCTGCCTCTGCTGCCCAAGTTCTGGGATTAAAGGTGTGCACCACCACCACCTGGCTGTCTTTATTATTTTTAAATTATGTATATAAGTGTATGTCTTCATGTGAGTTCATGCACACAAGTGCAGATGACCCCAGAGGCCAGATGTAGGTTAAGTTTTTCTGTTCTGCCTGTCAGCTCTGTTCCACCAGCTGGCTCCCAAATAATCACACAGAGACTTATTAATTATAAATGCTCGGCTGATAGCTTAGGCTTATTACTGACTAGCTCTTCCAGCTTAAATTAACCCATATTTCTTATCTATGCTCCACCACGTGGCAGCACCTTTTTTTTCAACATGGCATGTTCATCTCCTGCTTCCTCTGCATCTGGCTGGTGACTCCACCCTCTCCTTCCCAGCATTCTCCCAGTCTGGCTCTCCTGCCTAACCTCTACCTGCCTAGCTATTGGCCATTTAGCCTTTTATTAAACCAGTCAGAAGGTGCCTTAGCAAAGACATCTTCACAGTATACAAAAAGATTATTTCACAACAGCCAGAGGTATAGAATACCTGGAGCTGGGGTTATAGGCAGTTTTGAATCACCTTACATGGGTGCTGGGATCTGAACCTGGGTCTTATAGAAGAGCAGTAAGTACTCTTCTTAACCACTGAGCCAGCTCTCCAGCCCCAATAATTCTGTTTGTCTTAAATATGTATTAGAATATAACTTTGTAAATGGAATGCATTTGTTGACATATTCCTGTTTCCCTTGAAATGCTTAATAAAATTGATGTTATAAGTAATGTTGCTAGAATGTGTTATTTTTTTTTAATTTTGTGTGTGTGTGTGTGTGTGTGTGTGTGTGTGTGTGTGTGTGTGTATGTTCACACTATAGTTCATGGAGGTCACAGGGTAACTTTTAAGAGTCTGTTCTTTCTTTCTGCCGTGTGAGTTCCAGATACGGAAGCTCAGGTCCTCAAGGTTTGCACAATTGTCTTTACTCGATGAGCCATGGAGTCTACCTCAGCCTTGACTCCCTGAGCTGTGGAGGATGGCCTGGCCTTGACTCCCTGAGCTGTGGAGGATGCCCTGGCCTTGACTCCCTGAGCTGTGGACCCTGCTCCAGTTCTTAGAACTTGGAATTAGTTACAGGTTCTGAGAGGCAGAATAGTAATCCTATTTCAGGGAGAGAAAATATTTTGTGCAAAATTAATGTAGTTACTAGCTTCTGAAAGAAAGACCTTGGTGTTTTGATACAGATACAGTAAAAATTGATTTTCTTGATTGAATTTAGTATAACACAAATCAGCTTCTTTTAATAAGTAATGGCCATCATGTGAATTTTAAAATATGTCCAGATATATGCATACATAAGTATTCTTTTACTGTCCGTAAAGATGAATTGTTCCAGAATTGCTGTAGTTTTCTTGTATGTACACGTGTTAATGAAAAGCTGTTTTGTTTTTTTTTTTTTTGTTGTTGTTGTTTTTATGAAAAGCTGGTTTATTTAATGGAAAGAATACTAGACTAAAAATTGGAAAATCTGTTTTTTTAAAAAATGACTTATTTTATGTTCATTGGTGTTTTGCCTGCATGTATATCTGTGTTAGGTGTCAGATCTCTTGGAACTAGAATTACAGAGGAGGAGTGAGAGGAGGAGGAGTCGTCTCAGGTCTGAAGCAAACCCTATGTGAGCTGCCATGTGGGTTCTGGGAATTGAACCTGGGTCCTCTGAAAGTGGAGCCAGTGCTCTTAACCACTTAGCCATCTTTCCAGCCTGAAAAATCTGTCTTAAAAGACTGAGTTTTACTATTTATTATAAACAAGTGACTCTAGCAAGTCATTTTACATTGATAACTTAAAAACTCTTAAAAACCCTTCTCCTATACATAAATAAAACTTTTGAAAGGGGGATGGGTGAGTGGAGGGATGACTCAGAGGTTAAGAGCACTGGCTGCTTTTCCAGAGGTCCCGAGTTCAATTTCTAACACCTACCTGGTGGCTCATAACCATCTATAACATCAAATCCCATAGGTTCTGATAACTTCTGGTGTGCAGATGTACATGCAGATAAAACACGTGTATATATATAAATACATAAATTTTAAAAAATAATTAAATATCCTGCCAGGTTGTGGGTGTGGTGGCAGACACCTAAGAGATGGGGAGATCTCTGTGAATTCAAGGGCCAGCCTAGTCTACATACCAAGTTTCATGCTAGCCAGGGCTACATAGTGAGACCGTATTTCAATTTAAAAAAGACTTATTAAATCTTAAATTCTTGTACCAACTTGGATTGCAGCCATGTTTCTTTCATTGTCATTTTCCAAGGCATTAATTTTTAATTTATGCACGATGCTCCATTAGTACTTCATGAAGTCACTTTGATGGGCTATAGCATTTCTCTGTGTAGCCCTGGCTGTCCTGGAACTCACTCTGTAGACCAGGCTGGCCTCAAACTCAGAGAGATATGCCTGCTTCTTCCTCCCAAGTGCTGGGATTAAAGGTGTAGGCCACCCCTCCCTGCTGAGTTTCTTTCTTTCTTTTTTCTTTTCTTTTTTTTTGTTTTTGAGACAGGGTTTCTCTGTATTACTTTGGAGGCTGTCCTGGAACTCTCTCTGTAGACCAGACTGGCCTTGAACTCACAGAGATCCCCCTGTCTCTGTCTCCTGAGTACTGGGATTAAAGGTGTTCGCCACCAACACCCAGTGCTGAGCTTCTTTAAGCTTAAAAAAATTAGTTGATAAGTTTAAGTATCCAGTTGTGAGGTGACACTGTCCTTTAAAATTTTTGACAGTTTATTTTCTTTGGTTTAGTTCATCTCGTTGATATCTGGAACATGATTGAAGCTTTCCGAGACAATGGCCTTAACACACTAGACCATACCACTGAGATCAGTGTGTCCCGCCTTGAGACCGTCATCTCCTCCATCTACTATCAGTTGAACAAGCGCCTTCCTTCTACTCACCAAATCAGCGTGGAACAGTCCATCAGTCTCCTCCTCAACTTTATGATTGCCGCGTATGACAGGCTAGTACTCATATGCTCACTTTTAAATCCTGCCCATCTCTTCATCGACACCCCCCCCCCCCACTGCATTGCTAACTTTTGCCAGCTTAGAGCCACAGTGGAGGTGAGTTACTCAGTGTAAGTCCTTCCTACCTTCTGGACAGTCTCTGCTGTCCTCTGGTGTGCCACAGATGGAGCTGTGTAATAGGTAGGGAATCACCCACTTGAGTCAGATTGCCTGGTAAAATGATAGGCACTTTAGCAGACTTGTTCCCTCTCCCACAATTACGAAATGCTTAAGCTTTGAACCTGCTGATATGGCTTTCTAGTTGACTTTAAGGCTAATATTTCTTTACTCTGTAACACCAAACGGCTTTAGACTCATGTTTTCTCTTAAACAACTAAGAATCTATTTCAGACTTTTTCAGTTTTGATACACTGTGTGGTAAACTTTACAACAAGGAGCAAGAGACCACTTTAGTGTATCACAATTAAAATGGAAAGGATTTGCTCTATAAAAAACAAAACAGAAGCAAACCAAACAAATCCTAAAGGATGGACTGTGGAGAACTGGTTCTGCTCCAAGAGCCAAGAGTTCCTGTTTCTTCCCACTGCTGTTCTTCTGATCATTGGATTTGGATGAATAAATTCTCTTGCTTCATTGTTTCTCTATAGATTTATGCTGAGTTTATACATTTGTAAAATGGTATTAGTTGTGGTAGCAAAAATTCTGTGTATTAGTGAGGAAATATAGATGTGTCAAAGCCAGGTCACATTTTAGGCTTTCCCAAGATTCATAATGTGTTTATGTTACCAAGTTAGATATTTTACCCATTTGGTAAAAATTATTTAAAGAAATTTGAATTTTAAAAAGTTCCCAAATCTTAAAATCATTTAAAAATAGGGTTATGGATTAAGTTAATCTTGTACTCTTTAAGAATCAACTCTTGCAATCCAAAACCCTTGACAGAAATTATTATTCTTTGTGACCAAGTAGCATTTTACCATGGTCCTAATCCCAGGGGCATAGCCACTTCCAGGCTTACACAACATAAATCAGTTCAAAAATCAATTTTTAAAAATGTAGTAATAGGCCAGGCAGTGGTGGCTCACACCTTTAGTCCCAGCACTTGGTAGGCAGAGGCAGGAAGATCTCTGTGAGTTCGAGACCAGCCTGGTCTACAAGAGCTAGTTCCAGGACAGCCTCCAAAGCCACAGAGAAACCCTGTCTGGAAAAACAAACAAACAAACAAAAAACAACAAAAAATGTAGTAATAAAAATTACCTTACTATCTGAACAAGTAAATGAGGATTAAGAACTCCGATTCTGGGTCAGGGAGGTGGCTCAGTTTTATGAAAAAGTGTTTGCATTACAGGGGACTTCATTATAATCCTCAGAATTGACGTTAAGACTGTCACACATTGTGGTGCACTCTTGGAATCCTGGGGCTATAGTTTGAATCCCCACTGGTTACACAGAAAGAGGGGTGTGGCTGCCATTGCCCTTAACTCACTATTGGGTGGATTGAGACAGGTGGGTGCTTAGAGCTTCCAGTTCAATGAGAGACCCTGTCTCAGTCAGGAAGGTGGAGATCCACAGAAGTCTTCTGATGTGCTCCTCTGACTTCTTCATGTACATACATGAACACACACACACACACACACACACACACACACACACACACACACACACACACACACGGTGTGGGGGGGAATAATTAGACAGTTTATCAGAAGAAATGAAGGAGGACTGAGACTGTGTAGAGCCTTCCAGGTTTACTTGCCAGCACTGCCAAAAGAGAGGGGGTGGGTGTTCGAGAGGGAGGAAACATGGATGGAAGAGTGAACCAGACAGAACTAGCAAATGCAGAGAGGAATTGAGAAGAGGAAAGGATGTGCTATGTTAGAGGGGGGCTTGGTAATTTTTAGATCAATATGCTTACACCTGACATTGGATGTCAGAATATATTTTATTTTTTTAAAAAGAGTTTTAAATACTATTTGAGAACTAAAAAAGTACCGCAGGCCTCTCTGTATAGGACAGAGTGAAGACCACAAGGAGCAATGGAAACAGTTACAAACTCATTTTCACCCTCGTGGTCCCTCATGCCACAGGTGCTGATTCCCTGTGGTCTGGTCAGGCTGAGAGGCCCATGATAGAGCTGTGTAAGGAAATTCACTTTCCTAGAGTGCAGGGATTGGGGGGAGGCTGCCTCACTTCCTGCCAGTTCTACAGTCTGGGGCTTTTACTTACACCCCCCCTTTCTGTTTCCTGCCTGTGTGTTATTTTAGTGACTTAGATCCCAGACAGAGAAAGTCCATGATAACAGGGGCGAGAGGGAAGCCAGTCCTGGGCTTCCTCTGCATCTGCATCCCCTCAAGCTGCTCTGGGTTAGTCTTCCTACAAATTCTCCTCCTTCCATGTCTAGGTAAAGGGAGAGAGGGGAAGAGCCAGCTTTTCTGAGCATCAAACAGAAGTACCCAGCTAGCCGCAGATCTTTAAGTATGTGCAGGGAGATGTGTCTTACAGTATGTGTACCCCCAGAGTATGGGGTTGTTTAGTTCTGACCCTAACTATAGGCTCCCATGTGGTGGGCAGTGGATGAACTAGGTTTGCAGTGAGCTCTTACACGGCTTGCTGCTCGTTGCCACGAAGCTTCATGCACACTATAAGCTTGTGGATTGCGTTACTGAGTTCTGTCATGGTTCCTCCTCTTGATTAGCTCTCCTCATCTGTGTACCTCCCTATAGAGTCCCCTCCCACACCGTCTGAGCCCTTCATCAGCTTCTCTTGAGCTGTACTTCCTTCCCTTCCTCATTCATTCATTCCTAGAAATATTGATTCATGCACTCACTGTCTATCCCAACAATCCGGACCCTGGCAGTAACTTCTAATACCTGTTTTGTATGGTCCCATCCCACACCCTGTGCCTTGCAGGTCAGTGGGATCCTGGTTTGCTTTATATCACTTTCTCAATTCTCAAAAAGAAAAAAAAAATAAAAGGAGAAAAGAGATAGAAAGATAGATAGATTTTCAAATTAGGCATGATGGCACTTGCCCATAATTGTTGTACCCAGTAGATAGAGGCAGGAGCATTAGGAATTCAGGTTATACTCTGCTACATAGTGAGTTCAAAGTCAGCCTGGGCAACATGAGACCTTATTTCAAACAACTGCTAGCCTCCCCAATTAACCTTATGTTTTTTTCACATTTAAAGATATAACCAAAGTATTGTTTGGTGCTGCTTGTTTTCCTTATTCCCCATTCCCTCTCCCTCTCTCCCTTCCTTTCTTTCTGGTACAGGGCTTGAACCCAGGGCTATATGAATGCAAGCATTCTACCGTTGAGCTGTGCCCACAACCTGAGCATTGTTTAATTTTTTTTTTTTCCTGAGACAGGGTTTCTTTATGTATAGTTGGCTGTCCTGGAACTCCCTTTGTAGACCAGGCAGTCTTTGAACTCAGAGATCTGCCTGCCTTTGCCTCCCAGGTGCTGGTTTTAGAGGCGTTAGATAGTACTCTTTTTTTTGGTTTTTTGGAGACAGGGTTTCTCTGTGGCTTTGGAGGCTGTCCTGGAACTAGCTCTTGTAGACCAGGCTGGTCTCGAACTCACAGAGATCTGCCTACCTCTGCCTCCTGAGTGATGGGATTAAAGGCATGAGCCACCAACGCCGGCTAGTACTTTTATTTTAATTCTTATTATGTAACAGTTATTTGAGATCTTGGGGACTGTTTCTTTCTAGGCAGGGAAATATCTGTGCTTCTGCTAGGTGCCTAGAGACCCTGGAAGTCAAGGAAGATCTCTTTTCTAATTCTGCTTCTCCCTTGCCTGAGGTCCTTATGTCCTTTACACACCACCATCATTAGTTTGAGATTCAGGGCTTTCCATCAAAGAAACATGGGTCCTCCCTTAGAAATCCCAGAGTCACTTGCATGGAAAGATTGATTCCAAGTATTGTGGAATATACAGGCTCACCTCCCAGGTCCTCCAGCCTCTCCTGTGTTGGAACTCATTTGTTCTTGTTGCTGCTCAGGGGGATTTACAGATTGTTTTTTGCCTGCCTGCCTGCCTGCCTGCCTGCCTGCCTGCCTGTCTTCTACCCCCCTTTGCTTCATGGAAATATTGGTTAGAATCAATTTGTTTGTCATTATTTGAAGCCTATTATTTCTTCAGATGTTTCCTTTATTTTCTGTTTAATGACCTCTATCTTCTTTATTAATGTTTCTACTTTTAATGGTTCAATTTCTTTAAATTCACCTAGTTTATCACCAGTCATGATCCCATGACTCCTTGGTAGCTACAGCTCATTGCTTTGCCCAGCACAGAGGGAGAGAACACTCAAGTGCTCTGAACTGCGTGTTGCTATCTTAGGAAAGAATTGAAATTCAAAGTCTGATTTCTATGGAATACATGTCAATTGTATACCCATCAAGTAAAAAAGAAAATCATGAAGTCAAACAAGTTGGGGGCCTGTCTGTATCTAATTTGTGATGGAGTTATATGAAACATTTTTTTATCATTTATAAATCAGACTAGCAATCATTTTAAAGTTGTGATTTTGAAGTTTAACTTGGATACATTAAAAAGATTTCATAGTTCCCTCATAGTAGTGAACTTTTAAAACAGAACAGTATAAAACTACTTAGAATTCATGAGGCTCTGGGTGCATACAGCCAGTCAGTTTACCCCTCCCTCTCCCCCAAGGGCAAGATAGTAGCAGATTCCTCCCTTTTACATTAAAAAAAAAAAAAATGTATCTCTTAACTTCTGAGCTGTTCGACCAACAGAGTGTAGACATTTCTGGAAGCAGATAATATCAGGTTCCAGTCTTCCTCATTGGCGAGTTCTAAGCAAAGTTTTGCCGTCCTGGGCAGCACAGATAATTCACACTCCTGTACATTCTGTACTTGCATATCTGCTTTTTCTTAGTTGTCCTCAAGACAACAGGAAAAAAAAAAGCCACATTAAACTGGAGTTTTAGTGCAGTAGGAAAACCACCCATAACAGCCCATTTAACTCT